AGAGAGAGAGAGAGAGAGAGAGAGAGAGAGAGAGAGAGAGAGAGAGAGAGAGAGAGAGAGAGAAGGGGGGTGACGTAGAGGGTGAGGGTGAGGGAGGATACTTATTTGAAGTATGTAGAGTCCTTGGCTCATAGCGACAAGTGAAGCTGAACACCGCAGATAAATCTCAAACTCGTATACCAAGGGAATGGAGAGGTGGTTAACAGTGGCCTCAATTTTCAGCCACCTTCTCATGCCATTTATAACAAAACCCAAGAAAAAAAAAACCCATAAAATTTGACCCCCGAACCCTAATTTCAGTTTTGGACCCCTTACTCAGGAGCCGAAAGTGGTGGTCCCCGTTACCCGCTTGTACGGTTGCACCCCTCTTGTGCGTTAGACTGCTTGGCCGGGTGAAATCACATCACAACACTCTGCATGTCCCCCTACTTGTGTCAATTACAGTTGGTGCACAACAACTTCAGAGTTCAAAGTTCGAAGTAGTATCCTTAAAGTGGTTCCAGATCCCCTTTACGCTCTCCGTATGGTTTCGAAGGGCACTTCCACTCCCATCCGATGCTAGAACGCGCTCAAGAAAATTCGTTCACATAGCCTCTGCCCTCCTACTACCTTTGCTGTAGTTCCAATTTTTTCTTAAAGTGAAAAAAGAGCGGAAAGAAAGAACATGAAAGAAAGTTGTTGTTAGCACTCCAGCAGGCAGTAAAAAAAAAAAAGAAAACACACTCTAGCAGCCAGTAACAGCAACTCCGTCAGCGACTGCAGATCTACCTCAACTGCGAGTCCGCGACTTATTCAATCCTCTGCTTCACAACCTGCTCCGTGACCCTTTTTTTTTTTTTTTTTTAAGACACTTGTTTTTTTTTTYTTTCCCCACTCAAATATACCAATTTTTTTTTTTTATAAAGACACTTGTTTTTTTTTTTTTTTTCCCACTCAAATATACCAATCTATACATTGCATAGCTGTAAAATGTATACCTATTACATACATTGTACGGTGAGTTACTGCTTTCCTTTTTACTATATTCTTCTCTCAACTTCTGTTTGTTTGCCTTCCACTACCTACTCCTAAGACTATCTAGAGGGGACCCCTGCAAGCATAGTTTCCTCCCTCTGTGAAGGGGAGATTTCATGTTGCCCCTTGCCCCTAATCGTTAGGGTATAGGGTTGGGGCTGCCAGTGGGGGTCTGGCTACACTAAGCGGGATTTATAGCGGGGCCACATGCTAGCAAATTAGAGATGCTGCCGGTACAGTTATTGTGAAGTGATCCACAGCTGCATGCAGCAGCAGTGGCAAATCTTGCCGCAGCATTGCTGTCCCCTGGCTTCACAGTCCTTTTGTCTTCAACACAGTACGTGGTAATCTCTGCAAAAAACAAGTGTTCAAACTTCAAACAATGTTCCCAACAGTGTATAAAGGACCACCTGCGACCAACTGCTCAGTGTGGTTCCGACACAGCCAGTTTGGTCTCCCTATACCAAAGCAGGGAACAGCAGAAGAATGAACGCAGAAACTCCGTCTCCGTTCCGCTCAAGGTATACCGCCATCATTCATCAGTCTGGTATTCCTCAGGCTTGAACCATTGTGAAAAATCGAATCCTGCAGATATCAGCTTGGTCGTGGCAGGTCCAGTCTGGTCAAGCAGCTGGCCACAGAAGATGGAAAGGTAGCAGACACACCATCAGGAATTAAGCACCTTGTGTAAGTTCACCGCACAGGCAAGCAAACAAAGAAACCACACATGCCGAGAGAGAGAGAGAGAGAGAGAGAGAGAGAGAGAGAGAGAGAGAGAGAGAGAGAGAGAGAGAGAGAGAGAGAGAGAGAGANGATCCCCCATGTGGTCTACGCCTTGTGGGGTCAACTGCAATCCGGGAAGATCATGTTCCAATCCCTCAACGTTTAGGGCTGCATCCTAAGTAGGGATTGTACCTGGAATGATAAAGGCAAGAAGACTTTCCAGCCAAGTCTCATTAATTGATCATAACAATATCGTGGAAATGCTGCACGAACCCAAATATATAAAAACAGAAACCCTTCGGCCTTTATACTGAACCAAATTGAGCCCGGAATCCAATAAAGAATAGCCATATTCATGATGGGCAACCAACCACCCAAAAATAAAAGAGGGAGTGTACTCTAGGCAGCGGCTCCATCCCGAGTAGGGACTGGTGGCTGCCTGCAGGCAGCTGGACTGTCTGCAGGAGGCATAGGAGCGGATATTGTCGTTTGAAACAAAGGAACCGCAACAACCCTGTCTCTTATACACATCTAGATGTGTATAAGAGACAGAAAAGAGAGAGAGAGAGAGAGAGAGAGAGAGAGAGAGAGAGAGAGAGAGAGAGAAATAGATGCATGGATGGATGTGTGTATGTCCAGACAGACACATGATCAGGAAGACAGAAAGGCTAGAGAGACACTGAGAGGAGGGGTAGGCAGGGTGGTCAGGGTGCAGTATCCTCCATTACCGACTGCTGAAGTCGCTGCTTCTAGTTGTAGACCAGTTTCTGTTAATGGGGTTAAACTTAACCATGTAAAACACTGAAAGCATGATTTGTTGGCCAGAACTTTTTTCAAGTGCACTTTTGCCTCACAGTTTCAGCCCTGTTTTCGTTTTTGCTTTTTGTTGTTTGTTAATATGGTGTCCAGTCCCTGGAGTGGTGGCACGTTTGGTTACAAAGGCCTTTTAAAAAAACAACAAGAAGCATTAAAAAAAAACTGCTGAAATTTTGCCCCTCCACTAACCTTCTATCATTGTGTGGCGCTCGCCTGCCTGAGATGATCATGCACAAGGTTTTTATTTCTGTCCATTGAACACTTAGCAACCAGGGAGTCCTAAACAGTGCGTAAGTTTTAGCACGCAGGTCACACCTAACTCCAGACCTTTCTGACACATATCACCACAACTACGTTTCAAGTTCGTACACATATACATCAAGTACACATACTACAACTTAGTACAACTTAGCACAACCACATACTACAACTTAGTACAACTTAGTACAACCACATACTACAACTTAGTACAACTTAGTAGAACCTAGTACAACTTAGTACAAACTAGTACAACTTAATACAACTTAGTGTTGATGAATGGGTTGTGCACAGTTGGCAACCTTGTACCACTTAGTACCACTCAGTACCACTTAGTACCACTTAGTACCACTTAGTACCACCTAGTACCACTTAGTACCACTTTGTACAACTTAGTACAGTTAGTACAACTTAGTACAACGTAGTACAACTTAGTGCAACTCCGTACACATATACAACTTAGTACGACTTAGTACAGCTTAGTGCAACTTAGTACAACTTAGTACAACTTAGTACAACTTAGTGCAACTTCGTACACATATACATAAGTACGCATAGCACCACTTAGTACGACTTAGTACGACTAAGTACGCATAGCACGACTTAGTACGACTTAGTACGACTTAGTGTTGACGAGGACACACTCGTCCGTGGCAAGGCGATCACTGCTATAGAATGTATGAACGTGTGGGCATTTCCCTCTGGTTCATTCTGTCGTACTGTTGTTAGCCAAAATATTGCCGCGCAGACATGACATGACGAGTGTGTCCTCTCTTCGTTCATTGGTAATGGTGGCTGTGCTACTGCTGGCTGCAGTGCAAGTAGCAGGAGTAGGTACCCGGAAAAGAAGGCCCAGAGGATATACTCACCTGCGAGTGAATCTTGGTATTCGAGACAAGAACCGATCTATCAAACACGGTGAAATCACCACCGTCCATGCGAGTCACTGTTCCACCGGCCTCCTCCACAATCTGTCACGCGAAATAAAAAAACAAATCCAAACAAATTACATCATCAAATATGATCAAATCCAATACATTATACATGCAAGAACCCTTCACCAAGCAGCACCACCATGCGTCTGTCTCAGACCCAGTGCTTCTGACATCATCATCATCATCATCATCAGAAGAAGAAGAAGAAGAAGACAATACGTGAGGGCAGTGGAATCACGGATGGACCCATCTCTCCTCACAGCTCTGTTCTTCTCGTCCTTTGGATCCCCCATACTGGGGAATATAACAAGAAAAAGAGGGGTCCTTACGGCTGAGTTTTCAGGCAACACGGTAAATCTCTTTTAGAAGTCATAATACCATTTTCGGGCAATACATAGCAGTCAAACAACCCCTCCCTCCATTTCAGGGAACTCGGTAGATCTCTTCGGGGTGCTGCGAGCCTGCAACACTCATTCACTTTACGCTCAATACGCTGGTGGAAAACACCCCAATGAAAAATCAGTATTTCGGACCGCCAGTTTCCTTCGAATTACAGTCGTCGCCGTTGAGCAAGCATCATCGACAATCAAGAAACAATCAATGACCCATGTGAATCAACGATGTGATATCTGATGTCAATAATTGAAACACACAGAACGAGGGTGACGGATGCATAAGGCTTACGGTGCAAGACATCAAATGACATCGAATTCTGATCATCAAATGTCTTTCAAGTTTCGACCAGTCATAACGAACGGACAGAAGTGCCACAACCAAGAAGTCGAAAGGCTATTTTTAGTCTTCATTTATCGGGTGTTTTTTTTTTTTTTTTTTTTTTTTTTTTTTTAAATTTAGAAGTAAGAAAAGTCAGAATCTCCGGAACCACCCAATTAGTCGCATCCATTATACCAAAGAGTCGTCAAGAAACCTTCCCCTCGAAATTTGAAAAGGAAAAAATAAAACAAAGACAAAATGAGCAACTGAAAATTTCATGAAGATGCACGTTACTGCTTAACATTTACAGAACTTTCTCTCTAAATATTCATGGAGAACTTGCTCTATTTGGTCCAGATGAGAGGAATCTGTAAAGATCCTTTTCGGGGCATCCGAACAAATTGGAAAGATGCAGAGAACCTAGACAAGATCAGCATGGTGCCATGGTCCCTTCCCAAGGATGACATGCACAAATCGAGAAATGCCAGGGTACTGCTCCCCGCAGAGAGCAGAGTTAGGTAAGGCTGGGATATAGAGAGAGCATGCATGTAGACCCATAACCTTAGGATAGCCTAAGCTTAGCTAGTGAATTTAACGTCCTGGGTTCCCCTGGTTCATTGTATCTTGATTCTTCACCCGTTGACTGTGCTTGGTTGCCTTGGGGTGTCGTGCCGGGTTGGCTAGTAAACAAGGGAGGTAGTTAGAGTGAGGAAAATATTGAGAGGAGAAAATAGGATAGCAAAAGGATACAGCTGTTCCCCATGTGGGGAGAAAACACTGTATTAAAAAAAAAAAAATTAAAAAAAAAAAAACTTATGACCCCCCCCCCCCCTGCAAGGACTATGATATGCAACTGAAATCAGAAAGGAAATGCATGAACCTGGTCTCAAATTCTCGCTGAGCGCATGCCCTTTGGAAGATCCATCAGAATCGCAACGGAATGACAGGCATGTGTGTGTGACAGTGTGTCCTCAGAAGGGGAAGCAGAATGCACACAGCGAGAACTTGAGAAATAGTCTTAAAAGAAAATGCAAGAATATGGGAAAAATTTCGAAAAACAAAAATGTTAAAAGACACATGATAGGAAGAAGCATGACAAAGAGCGAGGATGGGTGTTGGTAAGGAAGAGGCCCCAGTGGCAAAGTGTCTGTGCTGCGCTACCATGAACGTGGTCTGCTTTACAAACCATATTCGTGCTTTTCTTAGCACCACCAGAGCACCAATGAGGCCTGGCACAAAGAGAGTAGGAGGAGGACCATGCTTACCAGGGCCCCGGCTGCCATGTCCCATGGCTTGAGCCTATATTCCCAATACCCTTCAACAATACCCAGGGCCACATGACACATGTCAACTGAAGCAGCTCCAAGACGTCGTACCCCCTGTCATATTTTCAAAATTCAAATACAAGAAGAAGCACAACCATACATTAGAATTTAGAGTCGATTAGACAGAGAAAATTAGGAATAAATTTTTTTATAGAACACATCAGAAATATAAATTATATTTTGAAGGTTAAAGATTGTGTAGGTTGGGGTGTACAAGGCATTCAGCATAGGGCGACCAGGCCAGGCCCCAGCCGCGCCAATGCTACAAGGCCTGCTAGGCACCCAATAGCATGGTCTGAAATCCCCCCAAAAACCACCCTGATGAGGTCGACCCTGGCTGCTATTGCAAGCTCACAAACCCTCACCCAGCCCAAGACATACAATCTCTCTCTCTCTCTCTATCGTCACAAATAGAACTGCCCGGTAAACCGTAGGCAGGGAGAGAGAAGAGGACAACAAACGAGGGGCTGTGACAAACTGTTTCGTCGGAGTTTCACCGACTCATCAGGAGGCTGAATATATACCTCCTGATGAGTCGGTGAAACTCCGACGAAACAGTTTGTCACAGCCCCTCGTTTGTTGTCCTCTTCTCCCTCTCTGCCTACGGTTTACCGGGCAGTTCTATTTGACGATATATATATCAGGATCGAAACGACACTACAGACTTTGGGAGCTAGACGCAGAGTTCGTTATCAAGAAGAGATCGTTGACATCTGGAGAGAGTAGCAACACGTCCAATAAGTTTAGTTGTGGTCGATCGTGACAAGGGATCACACATCTATTTAGAGAATGGATAGTATTTTGGGGGGACATCCAAGTAGAGATTCGGGATGCTCCTCGCCAATGGCCCTGAGGGGGCCGGGCAAGGGAACAATAACGCGGGACAGGGCTTCGGCAATAATGCAAGTCTTGGCGGAGGAGCAGGCCAACCTTTTGGTAATAGTATCGGGCACATAGGCGGAGGGGTAGGTACGGCAGGGGGCAATGGGAGTAAATGCTACAACTGTGGTAAAGTAGGACATTTCGCCCGTGATTGCTGGTCTAGGCGGGGCCGGGATATACGAATACACAAGGCGATCCCGAACTTGAAGAGATGAAGGAGCATTTTCGGCTGGTACGTAAGGAGAGGCAGGAGATGGAGGAGAAACGCAGGATCGAAGAGGAGAAAAGGGCAAGGGAGGAAGACGAGACACGAAGGTATCAGGACTTTTCAAGGAAAGCGGAATAGTTTAAGCTCCAATTGCGGGCTGAACTCATGGAAGAATGGAGAAGAAGCAATGCAGAGGCAGAGAAGGCGATGAACGGGGGGAAGAAAACAGGCAAGACGAGGTACACTAAGATCCGGAGCGGAGGGAAGAACAGCAAAGGCAGGAGAGCCACCAAAAGGAGGGAAGATTCGAGCGACGAGACAAATACGGACTCATCTCCCTCCTCAGAATCCGAGGCTTCAGACACTATCCGGATCCGAAACAATATCCGCGAGGGTGAGATCCCGGGGGCGGTAAAAGAAGAAGAGACGAGCGAAGGATAGGAGGAAGAACACGGGAAAGAACAAGGTGACTTCGACCGTAACCCCTGTGAGGACGTACGAGAAGGGCAAGAGTTCGAAGCAGCGCAGGACCGATCCGGGTAAAGGTGTGGACACACAGGAGGAGAGAGACAAAGCCGAGGCGGAACCCCGAACTCCGCTGACAGGCGGTTATAAGGGGCTCGCACCTGGCTGCTCGTAGAAAGGACTGATCGAATATTGCATATCCGCGCATAAGATATATTCGGCTAAGAAATCCGACACACTCCGAAATATCTGCGAGAAGAAGGGACTGAAGTATCCTAAGAAGCCGAAGGTAGTAGAGATGCTGGCCCGACACCAAGTGGACCTTGCGTATGACGGGTTTGAGGAGCTTCGAGAGAAGACAACAGCGGACGCGAAGACAAAGGCATCAATTTCCCCCCGAAAGGAGTTCATGAAGGACAGGCTCGCATCGGAGAAGTTGGCACCGAGACAGACTCCAGTAATCATCCACTCGGCACCGGTACAACCCGCGGAGGATTCAAACCGACAATTAGTAGCCCCCACTAACGCAGAACTCTGGGATAAGCTAAATGGATGGCTACACCAGAGATCGAAATTAAGGGGACAGAATTTGACAGGGGAAGTAGGCAGAAAGGTAGAATGTGCGATCACTACGTCTACATTGCTACTGGCAGCGGGGGAACAAATTCCCTGGCTGGAGAAATTTCTTGCTAGGACGCAGGATACTAAGAGTCTATAGCAGTTAGATACCGGTGGCGTGTACGCCATCGTGAGTCCTTGGACTAAAAAAGCTTCGTAGGTTGCACGGTCAGGCCTATAATACAACTGTGGAGGGAGCACATTCACAATGCACTGAGTGATTCACTGGGTCTGACACCGCACCTTTACAGATGGCTTAGGAAGTTCGGTGTGGATAGGTACGTGATTATACCTATTAGGCATGCCGACTGCATGGAAGACTACGCTTTCGAAAAGTTCTTAATCGCGGATTTTAATCAAAGTTTGAACTCGCGAGAAGTCAGAAAGCAGGAGAAGCTGGCGAAGGGAAGGAGGAGGAGGGGAAAACGAGAGAGGGGTGGGAAGACGAGAAGCGGCAGAGTGGGAAAACCGTAGTACCAATGGAAAATTTGCACCTCTCTACTCACCTGGCTGACGAGGCACGAGGGTGAAGGGGGGTTACTGCTCTCTCTACTACGGCCGGAATTGTTTGGACCGATGGGTGGAGAAGGATAAAGCACAGATACGGCGATACTGAAGTCGAGACGAACGCGAAGACTCTGAAACTCAGAGAGGCAAAGATGATAATGCAAGCAGGAAGCGAAGTCGTTATCAAACAGGTCGTGAGGTCGAAGACCACCACAGAGCGAAATAGGGCAATGTTAACCACACTACTGTGTAGACCAAAACCGGACTCACAGCTGGCCACTCTTAGCACGAACAAACTGATCGGCCTGTATAGGACCGCAGGACTCTTCACAGAGAAGAATACAAAGCACAACCTGAGGACGAAGTTAGACAGGGTCGTATGTAGGAAAACCGGTGTGAGTATTAGGAAGAGAATTAAAGTCAGGTTAGCATATGGCACACGGATTAGGAAAAGCGGAGTTACGGAGTCAAAGGAGAAGGTGGTGGAGCCGTTGATAAAGGACAAAATCCTCGCGAATGTCCTCAAGACTAGGATCAGGGTGATCTGGCGTCGGAATAGAAATGTCGCAGAGATAATTCACAACCAGAAGTTTTACGCGTCTGTAGAGGAACACTCATGTCCGTGCAAGACATTCGACCTACCGAAGAAAGAAGGTCACGTGCTATCCCGATTCTTGGATCTTGAAGTCCCGAAATTCATAAGAAACTCGAAGAACGTTACCCGACCTGCGAAGGCATGTGACAAACAGGCCGTAGCAGAGGTGATACAAGAGGCGACAAAGCATCTTGGACATGGGACGAAGATAGTTGTTATGCAGAACCTAGTATTCACCGGTGAGCCCCTAAGTGTGACGGCTTGGACAGACGAAGAGGTCCGCACCATGAGCAGACGCTTTCAAGGTCTTGTGCTCGCTCCGATCGACCGGAACCAGGGGGACACAGCAGTAATGTGTCCCGTGCTATACAGGCACAGGTTCAGGAAGACATTCTCTTGGAATACAAACTACGAGGTAGTTGGGGAACTGCAGTCTGAGCAAGCACTGCTGAAGACACAAAGGACGGACTTCCCTGAGACTGGCCTGCAGAACATTGGCAGCTGGAGGACAGACGGACGTTTGGGGACAGCAAATGTGATCCCCAAACACAAGGATCTGACTAGATAGCGACGCATAGCACCGGCACCTGCCGACCCAGCGAGTCTTGCACAGAAAAGAATAGCTAGAGCACTCCACTGTCTGCTTCAGCGCTTACCGGCGAACCGCAGTTTCTACGTCAACTCTGTGGCTGAACTGGTGGAGCGCCTACAAGCTACTTTGCAACGTTTGAGGGCGGCCGACTGCACACAGGTGATCGGAAGGTGCTATGACGTCAAGGAGATGTTCTCCCGCATACCACACGGAGCAGTGATCCACGTGATCGGAAGGTGCTATGACGTCAAGGAGATGTTCTCCCGCATACCACACGGAGCGCATACCACACGGAGCAGTGATCCAGGCGGTTCAGCAGTTACTACTGAAGTACGAAGATGATGGCTGCAAACAGGTTCGAGTGTCGTTCAGAGGCAAGCTCTGCACTATCAGCAACAATAAGAGGAAGATGGATGGCTACGTGAGCTTGTTACTCAAGATGATAATGAATGGCATGAGGTATGACCTCAGACACACTGCGGTCAGATGCGGCACGATGCTGGTTAGACACGTGTTCGGGATCCCGACGGGAAAGGCTACCAGCCCTATCCTTGCATCCATTACATGCGCAATGGCAGAGTTGCGGTTCATTAATGAGCTAGGATCCGACAGGAGACTGGTGGAGGGGTGGAGGATCATGGACGATATTACTATCGTCGCAGGGATGAATGGCAGAATTTGAAACTGCCGGTACCCAAGCAATCTATTTCAAGCTTTCGAGCACATCTACGACCGGCACCTGTAGGTGATACGCAAAGACGAGTGCGGATTCACATGGGAATTTGTGGGAGGCACGATGATGATCTGCAATGATCCTCTACGACTGCATTACACGCCGAGTACCAAGAATACCGGAGCTTTGCACAAGACGGGGACCCTCGTCTTCCAGACAATGCAGGACTATCGAGTCCTACTCGCCGAAGAGCGTGAAAACGGCAGTTTTGACCGCTACAATAAGAAGGCTGTGGGACTATGCCACCAACAAACAACTCGTACTCGGAGCAACAGGCTATGCGATATGCGAAGCAGACCTCCGAGGCTACCCCCCGGAGGTCTCTCTCAGCGCTTTGGCTGTTTCAGCCAAGGCTGTGCCCGATAGAGCACTACATCGCTTTTTCGAAGCCCTAGCATACTCGACTAGGCTGAGGAGACAATTCAGGATCAGACAACTCAATCACAACGGCTAGGTTCGACGGCAATGAGACCCACCTATCTGGCCTGTTCTGACGTTTTAGCATTTTGACGTTCTTGGCGTTGACCTTTCGGCCCTTCTGGTCGTCCACAGCTTGGACCTTGGACTCTTTTGTGTTTGAACCTTGGACACTTTGGGCTTTCTTTTGGCAGTCAGTCTTCGGTGTTTTCTGTTTTCTGCACTCTGTTTTCTGTCTTAGCTTTCGTCCATTTGGCTCTAGGCCCTTTGGACCTGCGTTCTCACAGGATTCCAGTTAGATTCGTTTGGCTTCGCGGACTCAAAAGTGCTCCGAGTCCTGTAGGATGAAGTTTATCAGACGTGGAGGAAGAGTAGATGTTGGAGTCTAAGCTTTGGGAAATTTTCAGCACCTAGTGCCCTTTTGGAGACTGATACAGACACTAGATAACTCGAATGGTGTATCACGGAGAAGGGAAATTTTGCAACCGGAAAACATACATCCAGCGGTAAGACCGTGCAGACGTGACTTTTCGAGGCGAGAAACGGCTTGACCGGCGCGATGCTGGTATACTAAGTATAAATTGTATAATCCATTGGGAGTTAGGTCCTGATGTCTTGTTTTCTTGGGGTTAGGGATAGATGATGGGCATAGCAGATGGAAGGAGGGAGACAAGTACAGCTGACGAACTGAACAATAACACTACTTACTGTGGGAGGCAAGGCTCCAGCCTCCCTTTTCGAGCACGAAGGCTCACTTGAGTCACCCTCCTGAGGAGACCTGCGGGGACAGGCAAAACCGGTCGAGGGATTTCCCCATGTTCTGCTCTTGTGCGGTAATCACGTCAGTTTTCAGTGGTTTTTGAACTTCGTCTTGCACGTGGTTGTGACGAGCTTCTGTGACTTGGTCATGGCTGCACGGGCTGTTTACCCGCAGTTCTCTCTCTCTCTCTCTCTCTCTCTCTCTCTCTCTCTCTCTCTCTCTCTCTCTCTCTCTCTCTCTCTCTCTCTCACTCTCTTTGTGTTTTGTTTTTTCTTCATGTTTTTCTCTGACAGATGCTTGGTGTGAATGGAGAACATGTTTTCTCCAAGCTCACAGTAGAGTTTTCCACCACATGTGTTGCAGATTCACAAATGCTCTTTTCAAATCTGTTCTTAACGAATAAAAAATCCAAATGCAAGCAAAGCTTCATCACCAATGCAACTGGGTGAGTGAGCCTCAACTCCAGCTGGACTACTTACCCTGCTTACATCCGTGAAGTGCTTGAAGAGATCCAGATTCGTCAACCAAGCTTCATCATGTTCATACCCGAACCCAGTCACCAGCAAAGATTTCTCTACCTAAAAACAAAACAAAAACATCATTGTCAAGTTGTGTCAACAATTTGATCGAAAATACAGTCATATGATTGCAATGCGCAATTGGCACCATCGACCACTTTCTGAAAGGCATTTGTAAATACTAAAAAGTTAAAAACACATTACATAGGCTTCCATTGTCAGCAATTGATTGAAATTTTGAAATACACTTATATCGATATACTGTCCGTAACGTCGTATACTTTAAACAGGCTCCCATAATCACCAATGGACAATTCAAATTTGAAATACAGTCATAGGAGCAAAAAGGAATACAGAGGAACACAAATGGGATGCATACAGTAATTGGCTCCGACAACCAAGAATTGATTGAACAGGAGTGAATTTCAACGAGCACATAACGTGCATTAGTTGAATTGAACATATAAGAAGTCACCACATAACTTGTTGCACGGAAGGAAGTGTGTGGGTGTCAATGTTGCATTCTATGACTTGCCGGGGGGAAAGGAACGGGACTGATGCTTCCCAGAACGGACAAGAAGTCAGGGCCATAAGGACCTGTTTGTTTATGTATTCCGTAATCTGGCGAAATTAATAATAAAATTTATAAAAATGAATTGTCTGTATACGTGATCCTATGGGCGCAAGAGCGTCTTCTTTTATTTACTTCAGCCTACCTTCGCGCGCCTCCGTTACTCTTCAACCACACAATCAGCAATCGAATCGAGCGAATTTGTATACGCTGCAAACATGGTAACCGAAGACCCGGACACCGGACACCGAACACCGGACACTTCTGGACTGTATTCCAGACGAGTGTCTGGACCTGTCCGGACTGTCCGGCGATCTGGACACCACCGGACATTTGCACATCACCGGACCCGGACAGTCCGGACCGGTGTCACGGGCAGTGTTGCACACCCCGACCATCGGCGACCCCTGACTAGTCGGCTATAGTCAAACAGAGCTGCCTGGTAAACCGTAGGCAGAGAGGGAGAAGAGGACAACAAACGAGGGGCTGTGGCAAACTGTTTCGTCGGAGTTTCA